CTACCCTCATTTGCGGTGTTTAAAAACCTCCGCTCTTGTTTTATTTTTTTAAAGGAAAATTAATCAGTGTCATTGTCAGATGTTTTCTCTGAATTTGCTTCGCACAGCAAAGAAAAATCACAGAAGTTTTTAAGAATTGACGTTGTGAAGATCTCCATTGAAGAAATAAATTATGGCAGGATGTCTGCAACGTCACAAGTAGAGATGCATGGTTTGGGAGTTTCATTATCAATCCAGGTTTTTCAGAAGTAAAGTATCGCAAGAATATGTTTCCGAGCTTTTAAGAGCTTGGAGTAGTTCCTTTGACTTATTCCAAATTTTTGTTGTTCCAGATGAACGCAACAGCCTCATTGGTTTTCCTGAAGATTCAGACTCGGAGAATGAAAATGCTGTCATCGAAAAACTAGCAAACGCTGTTGGTCATCTATTTACAGGGTGAGCCTTTCAGATCCTTTTCTTTAAATTTACTCAATTTATTCATTTATCATTGAAATGTGTTTATGATCAAAAGAGATATGTTACCATAATTGTTTGGCAATTTCACAATCGTAATAGCAATGTTGCAAGGCATAATTGAATTGGTTTCTGCTAGATGGGTGCAAGTCCAAAAAATCATAAACCCTGGCTTTCGTTAATCATGTAGGATGCTAGGGCTCATGAGTTTTAGGACTTACGCCCGTTTAACAGAAATTAATTTAACTATAGCAGAGGTACTTCAGCAGTGTTCAGTATTAGTGGACAGACTCACAAGGTTTCCTACCATACACTGGCAATTCTGCCCTTGTACACACTAAAGAAGGGCTGTGTTTTCTTTCACTGAACACAACACTTTGAGACATATCGCATTTCTTTGCAAGGCTGAGTGGCTGTCTGATAAGCCAATATAAGCTTACAAAGACTGTAGCAGACACTACCAAATGCTGAATTTTAAAGCATTGCCTAGTCTCCACCAAGTTGGACTCTGGCAGGTGATGCTTGCAGTGGTGTACTTTTTAAGTGACCCACAATTTAATCACAACACAATCGAATATTGTGAAGTGACTACCACCAAACAGCCATATCCCTCCCTCACAATGTCATGCCAACTTTGCCCAGCAATTTTGCCTGAATATTTACGAAGAATGTTACAGCTATGCAATCATGCAATGTTGTCGCTACAGTACTTTTGAGGCAAATAATTATCCATCATTTGAAATTTGAAATTCTGTGATGATGATGGAGGTTAACATAAATTTTTTTTTTTGTCACTTTGAACATGTACCCAGTAGAACATGTAGTTTGATTTGTGTTCTCAGTGAAAGTCTGGATAGTGAAAGTAGTGATCAAGAAAACTCCAGTGAAGCTGAACATTCAATTGAAACCGAGGAAGAGACTGAAAACGAAGTCAGTGTAGGAGCAAGCACAGTCGTTGGCACTCAAGAACGAACAGTTTTTCTGAACAATCGAAGTAAGTTCATGATACTTTGAACCGGAGAAGTAATAGTGAGTTGCATTTGACTGTTCAAGCAAATATTTTTATTGCTGGTTGTTGTAAATTTATACTTGGTTTTACACTCAAACAGCTCATCATCAATCCATGATCGTTTTTAGAATAGCAAATTTCTTAAGCGACAATTTATGTTAAATTTCTACAACATAGCAAAGAGAAGCACAATTTTGCGCACAGGTTTGTCATACATATTTAAGACCTCACAGGTCTGATTTCACAGGACTGATGAATCAACTCGTTAAATTACAGAATCCGTCACTTTGAATTAGCTTGAGGCCCTTGAAGAGATCAGAAGATCAATTTGTTAACTCATGATTCGATAAATCAAGGTCTTAATGTATTTGGTTTTTGTATTTAATTTGATTTTTTGAATCAAAAATTCTCAACAATGATCTACCAAAACAAATGTGAGTAATGAGTCAGTTAAAGTCCAAAGGATTTTGCCATAGGACTAGGTATCTTGATCCATATTAATACACTCAAATAGATAGATTTTTGGTAGTGGGAGTGTAGATAATCACAATAACAAAATGGGGACGCAAGGCCAAAACAGGCTAAAATGTTTTTAGTCTTGTTTTCCCATTTTGTTATCGTAATTATCATGTACATACAACCTTTTGCAAAATAAAATTATGCTGACTCTCTTCAATTCTTTTTGTTTTTTTTCGATATCAGGTGATTCTTTAGATTCAGGGCTAGAACCAGAGATGCAAACAGAAAAGACAGCCACCTATTTCATAATTGAGGCGAAAGACTCATTAGAAATAAGTCTATCATCAAATACAATTCGTGTTTTGACTGAATTGATGGATGCCTACATCACAAAGACTCCGCTGCCTCAAATTCGCACAAATCAACTAAGTTTGCACAATGATATCGCTCCTGACTCTGTCATCACTCTTTTCCAAAGAACGAAGGTATTTTTTCCAGGACTCCGTCTTGATTTTTGTTCCGTATTTTTCCGTTCTCCCTTTTTGCCTCACAAATCTGAAAAATCTGTTGCAAAATAGCAATGATGGTAATATTTAAGGTTTTCAAATTTTAGCTATATTTCGTTTTTGTTTTTGTTGTTGTCACCTGAATTCACAATCAAGGTCACTAGCGTTAAAGTAGATACTGTTTAATGGATTTTTCTGTCGTCATAAGTGGAAGTAGAAACAATGAGCGGCGCCTCATCGGTAATCCGAAGTAATAACAACGTGTGCGGCTTGTGAAATATTTGGCATCATTGATGGTGGCAGGCTAATCATTTCAACTTTGCTTTGCAAATATCAGAAAACAGCTGGAGCTCTTCGTAACTCCTTCCAATGAAGACAAAAAGAAAATACATTGGTGTGAATACTTAATCCAATATGTATATAGAATTTACATGTTGTGATGTTTGAAAGTCCGTTAAATTTCAATCCCTTTTTTTCAGGGTGGCGGGTCTAAAGTGCTCATCAGATCATCATACAGCATCTCTGACTCAACTCCTAGTGGCTCACAATCTGGCTCAGTTACCCCTGACACTAAAAATTCCGGATTTGAAAATGATATTGAAAGGTGAAGTTTGCTGCAGTTTGAAGAGGTTGAATTCCTGTTCTGCTAAACTTTTACCCTTACATTCGAAATAATGTTCAAGGAAGTTGACCAAAAATTCAAAAAATAATGGTGGATTAAAAATACCTTTGAGTGGTCATTAGAATTGACTTAAGAATTGCAACAAAGTTGGACAATCTTAGCAGTGTTGCATGGTAGAAGCATAAAATGCACACAAAATGCTTAATTTTTACCAAGCATAGCAATTTGCGTTTTGTGATTTGCAATCTGCCAGCACTGCTTCCACAATATGGTTTTCTATGTTTTATACTTTTGCTAAAAAAATTGTGTTCCATTAATTACGCCATCACAATTTTAGACTAAGGCTGGTATGGATCTGTACGGACAAACTCTCCTCAAATTGTATCAATAAAAAGGATCTTGTAAGAGAACAGTTGAATTTGGTATGATGCAAAAACCGCTAGTGTCTATTTTTCCAGGGCTGAGGTTTTTGTTTCAATAATTCTTTTAAAGAGTCAATCCCATCTTAAAATTGGCTTTAAGTCTTGTTTTGGGGCCAAACTAAGCCCAGGATGATTTTTCACACCACTTTCATGGCTGTATCTAAACTTGAAATGTATTTTTGACCCAGAATAACTAATAAGTGGAAAAACAGATTTTAGCAGTTTTTGCACCATCTGAGTCAATTTTGTTGCTGTTGTTTATCATGCAATTTATATTGCTTTGTTTACTGAATTGATAATCATAATCAACACAACAATTCCCTCAAACTTTCCTCCTATTTTTCTCAGAGAAAAAAGTGAGAATTGATTGCAATGTAACATTTTCCTGTGTTTCAGTTTCGAAGGAGGCTTTGCTGCTTTATCATCAAATGAAAAAACACTTGATGGTGAAGTGAATTCAAATTTTGAATTGATGACAGACACAATTACCAATTTGTACAAGAAAGTGGCCGATTATTACCTACATATCAATGTTCCAGGTAATAATGAATTGATATTTTCAACCGTCCACTCAAAGAAGGCCCCCCCAGTTCCTGGTGAAAATTTTTTCTAGTTCATTTTTAGTCAACATGTATCAGAACCTGGTATTTAATTTTTGCTGGAAAATGTTTCCCAATTTTCAGAAGAATGAGATGACAGTGGCATGGCTATTTTTTGTGCTATTAGACGGCGTAAGGCATTTAAATAATAAGAAAAAGTCCAAATACCGATAGTAACAGGATGGTGGTTTCCTTTAATTTAACAACTTTTACCCTTGAACACATAACCAGATAGCTTTTTCTTATAACTCTATATTTTTAACCGGAAACTTGAAATGCTCAATACTTTGGTTTTGTATTTTGTTTTTTAGTTTTTTATGAACATTTTTGCGTTTTTTGTGTATTTATTTCTACGTAGGTATTTTGGTAACAAAATATTTGTTTATCATTCCTCCAAGCAATGCCTCTCTCGCCAATTCTCAGTATTTATTTTGTTAACTGAAGTTCATTTTATTGCAGATGGTGTTACATCCCTACTTCAAATTGATCATCATGTTGCAATCGTATGTTTATAGATAGATTTTTTAAATTTCTTGTTTTTTTTTCAGGATTCGATGTTCTCAGAGTTTTATGCCCTCAAAGAACTGTGTCGAAATTTCACTTACTGCAACCCATAAAAAATAATACCCGCTATTATATTAGCCTTGATATTCAGGCCAATGAGTTCAAAAGAGTGATTCATGTGCGGTCCCCATTGCAGGTGTGCTTTCCATTTTTACTCTTTTATTATTTTTCTTGTTTTAGTAATATGTAAATTTCAGAATGAAGATAAAGTATTATTTTTTACACTTGGAAACGGGCACCTGTTCATTTGCTTTGTTCAGAGCAATTTGGTCCAAAAGTCCAACTTGGTGATTTTTTCTTTCTTTTTTCTTAGACCATTATCCAGCAAGTAACCAGGTCGCCCATCTGGTTGACTATGTGGTTATGCAAATCATCATTGCGTATTAAATTTAAAGAAAGATATATTATCTCTCCGAGGAGGGATTTTTTTAAAGAAACCCTGCTTTAAATTGAAATGTAATTTCCTGAGGATGAATCCTGATAAATGTGAAGCAAGAAAATTTCAAGCTCTACCAGTATTCATTTTCTGAGTTTACATTTTAGTTTTTTCCCCTTCTTTTAGAAAGTTTTTCTTCCAGTTAAAGTCAATTATTTTTTTAAAATTACAAAGACTTTCTTCCCTCTCCAGAGATCAATTTTTTCCCCTTACATTGAATAAAGTTTCATAATTCAACGGTTTTAACCGCTCGTAATTATTTTTAGCTAGAAATCAAATTTGATTATCAAACACACCGAATAGCATGTCTTTAATTTTTCTTTGATTTCAGGTAAAGAATGACACTCAATTTCCCATCGGATTATATTACAAAAAAGAAAATCTTTCTGCTCTTGGCTACGAACCAATCGGGGAGTCTATCAATCCATTCGACGATTTCAATCGGATCGCCATTCTCGAACCAGATCAGACTTATACGGTGCCTTTACTTGTCGCTTACCACTGCCATATATTTGTCATGCCAACATATGTAGAGTAAGTGCTCTTTTTTAGTTTGTTCAGTTTTAAAATATTATTTTATCCCGGGTTTTCTTTTATTAAGGCAATATATTCTCATATCCTACTTTATACTGCTGCATCAAGCAAAAATTTTGTATCTCTACATTTATTTTGTTGAGATTTCACAGTTTTTATATTTTTTTGACCTGTGAGCGGAGATATGCTTAGGTTTCATAGATGAAAGCTCTATGATAAAGAATTTCTAGGTATGTGTCAAGACTACCAAAATGTTACAACAGGGGCGAGTTGTAAGTCCTATCTGTAATCAGTAACTGCGCCCAGATAGCACATCACTTTGTTTTAAGTCAGATACATTATTTGTTTTAAGATTTGTGAAGGTTTTCTTGAGTTATTATGCTTGAAGTTAGCTCCAACAGGAACTTTAGTGTTGTTGTGAGAAGCCCAATTTGGGAGCTTTAGTTTCAGTGTAGTAAAGCTTCCTGGCAATGAATGTACCAGTATAAATCTTTCTTTCCCTGATTAAGGAAGTTATTTGCAATGAAGGCAGAGATTAACTAAATAAGTAATCCTAATATTTGCGCAGGAGTTATCATGTCAGTGAAACTGGCCTTTGGTGGCAGGAGATGGCATCTCAGATTCAAAGACCTGTAGATCTTGTATGTAAACCAAAACTAACTGCAGCCAACAGTTTCTCAATTCGGGTAATGAAAAAATTACTTACTAAAACTTACTAAATTCTTTGTAGGAATGTCTCAAAGATTCAAAAGTGAAAATTGTATGTAATCATGGACCTCTTTTGAATTGATGTTTTTTCGAGTCAGTAAAGATTTAAAAGGAAGGTAGCAAAGTGATTTATAGAAGGGTCGCCTCAGGATAAAAATGAGTACTGACTTAGCTATCAGTATTTTGCAGAGAAGCGGTTGACCAGAATATGAACTGACACCCAATGCATTCAAGGATTGCTGCATAGTCCATTCTTAAACGCATGAAAACACGTCAGTGAGAAAACCTTTAAAGGAAAACCAAGATTTTAATCCTGAAAACCTACGAACAATTCTTGCTAAAACTATAAAATTAACGTTCAGGGCACAGAAGTGGTCAAACTAATAAAAGTACAAAAAGGTGACCAAATTGACAAAAATTTATTTTGGAAACTGCAGTATCACTCATTTGGATACACAGAATTTTGAATGATGTAGAATGAGCAATAGTCCATTTTTAGCCATGAGAGTAGCCATGCAGCTTTCAGGTTATCTGAATATCACCCTCTTGCGTTATTTTTGAAGTATTATATTACTAAACAATTAAAGGAGTATTTTATGGTGTTTATTATCTTTTTTTGTCCTTGTTTCATTTGTTTTTTTATTTTCCTAATTTTGTTTATCAGGCTATATGTGTCGAGAATGTGGCTGCATCTTGTCGAGCTTGTCGCGCTGTTCCCAATTTCACCCTGCACCTTTTACCCTCTGTGACTATTTTTAATCGTCTTCCACTAAGCTTAAGAATTTTACTGCCTGCCCCAGAGCAAGCTCTTGAAATCGAACCTGGTGGCAAAGCTGTCACGCACTGCTTTGATCTTTCCAAACTCAATAAAGTTTCAGTAGAGGTAAGATTATCTAATTCATTGATTGGAGTAATTAAGATAATTTTTCATTGTGGGATGAAGTATCGAGTAGTGAGAATTTTATGTCCGTTTTCCTAACTTTTTACTTCAGATTTTATACTACATACTATTTAATTTGTCTTCCCTCTAGACTTAATGCTAAGCACCTATCATGGTAAACTAGCATGCTATTTTTTGTTTACCAACAAGAAGACAAGAAAAATATGTAACCTGACTGCTTTTGATAATTTCTGACTCTGCCTAACTCATTTGAAAGAAAAAGAACCAACTTTATCATCTCAACCTCTCCCAGCATATTCCTCACAAGCATAAAAAATTCAGTGAAATTACAAGGAGTGGCATTTTGTTTTCTCTTCACGAAGTAAACAATTTTAATTTCCTCAGTTCAGAGGAATTTTGAATGAAATAAAAAATTTTGATCTCTGCTTTATGAAAATTAAAGTTCTATCCTGTACCGTAATGAATTATTATGAAAATGATGTGTGCATTTTGCTTTGATGGATGACATGCAGGTTGCCCCTTTCAAATCCCTTCGTACCTCTCATAAGATTTTCATTTTTTTGATGCAGGTAGTGAACTATCTTGGTTGCTCGTGGTGTGGATCTTTTAACCTCACAGTTGATGTAGTTGAGAAAACTTTGATGATGACTCAGTCGCAGCAAGATAATGATACTGATATTAAGCAGATGTTTTTAAATGCTCACATCGACAGGATTGCATCTTGCAACATCACTCTATTTACACAATATTGGATCGCCAACAAAACCGAGCTTTTCCTTCAAGTGAGGGTGAGTATACGTAGAAACTTACCCAGCTGTGTGTATTTTGAATTGCTTTAAAGATTTGGAAGTACAATAGAGCAAAGTCGTTTTCCTCAATAGGGCCATGTACTTTTCAAGTCCATTCAATCACCAGGTTTGTATTGGAGGACATGATGATAAGCATCTTTTTCTCAAGTGGTTGTTGGTAACTTCTAAGTGTTAAAATTAAACGTTGTAATGTTCTCCGTTTTTATTTTCAGGCCTCTTCATCAGACTCTGTCCTTGACATTAAGGGCGAGGGACCCCTGTTCTTTTGTTACCGAAAGCAAAGGCAGAGAACTATTCGTTTGAGGGCGAATGAGTCATCGTGGTCATCAGCTTTTTCCATTGACACTCTCAACTGTCCTGGCATCGTTATTTGTCGGTACGAGCTGTTTCCTCTCAATTTGTAAAATCAGTTGGAATAATATTTAATGAGTTTATGTCACTGTAAAGGAGTCACTGTCAGTGTAAGGGGCTGTTGAAATTTTGTCAGTTACTACACACATTCAAGCATTGTTTGTTCCACTCTAAGGGATCTTACCAATTAGTAGTTTTTCATTGATAAATACACTAGATAGTATCATATGAATTGGAATCCTTATCATTTAAATAAAAAAAAAAAAAAAAAAAAAAAAAAAAAAAAAAAAAAAAAAATGAATTACAATAGTTTTTATAAAGACTTTTCGAGAGAAATGGGGGTTGTTGCAAGATCCAAGAATTGTCTAGGAACTAGGTGCTCTTATCGTATGTTTTGGTGAAAAACGCATTCATGAGCGTTAAATAGTTCGATACGGCTTTTTTCAATAGAAAAATGAAACTCATAGTTACATAAAGAACGTTTCTCATTAGCTCGCAGCTTGTGACATTTTGAGAGGTTACAACCCATGGTTTCAACCACCTTGAATCCAATGCAACATAGCTACTGTACTTGAATCACGAACAGACAATATCATTTAAAAAAATGACTTAAATATCCACTTCATACAGCTAAAATATTCTGAGTGTGATCGAGGCACACAACATCATGTTATATTCGTGACCTGAAAGCAGGTAAACTAATGCAGATCAAGGAGTACGTAGCTGTCAATTTTTCTTGTGATGTCATGACGACCGTTGGCGTGATATTTTTCCATTTGAAACAGCCCACTCTTAGAAGAGGCCAACATGGAACAGTGGCAAGACGTACTCTCTTCTTTTTATGCCTGAACTTGAAAAGTTTAGAAGACAAGAGTATCTGTAATTACATTGCCCAACAAAGTGCCCGGTGGAGTAAAAACAGTGGAGTAAAAAATAGAGAATTTAAATATATTCTATCTTCACTTTCAACAATTGCGTAACCAGGACTGAGCTTTGTCGTAATTATAGTTTCGTTTAAGTTCATTTGCAATTTAATTTCGATCTTTTACGGTTGGGACTTTTTCTTGCATTCATGATAGAGTTTCTTTTCCAGAGACAAAGAACGAAACAAGAGCTACCGGATACTGATGAATATTAGCACCTCTTCGTCCAGCCCTCATTTAACAAAAGTCATCAAATTTTTACCAAATTTTTTGGTCAGTAATCAGTGCTTCCGACCTCTCAGGTTCATGGAAAACAATGAAAAAGCTGATTTATGGTTTGATCTACAACATGGACAGGTAAGTCTCTTGCTATATCTGAATTTTAAACCAGATATCACAGAGAATATTTCATTCCCTTTCACTCAAGCAATTTCAAAGCTATTTAAACTATTAACTCACATCTTGATAATGATTGACTTTGTTTATCTAGTAATATAACAACTATATTTTTTACCGAATACTTATGATGTAAAACCCATTGTTGAGCGTGTATATTTTGATTCTGATAATATTCTCATACGGCCCCCAGACCTGTTCATCAGTTTTTTCTAATCGTTCAAACTTGTTTAAATTTCCCTTTCATAGCCTTTTTCTTCTTTACTTCTCTTTTACATCTCTCTCCATCTTTGTTTTTTTATTCTAATATTTTTATTTCAGAGTGTCCCATTTTGGCCAGAGACAGAGTCAATGTCAATGTTTGTAAAATTTACCGACAGTAAACTAGTATCGCAGCATTTTTCAATTTGCACCACTCAGCAAACAGTATTACGTATGGATAAGGGGGTAAGTTCTTCTCCCACTTTTTAAGTTTCTAAGCTCCCTGTAGATTTATTCAGTCTCATTTCTGTCAGTGCACTACCAACGTGCATCTAATCTCAATATATTGAATTGATAAATTTCAAAATTCTCAAAGCATCCTCTTAAAACATAGTAAAAAATACTAAATTTAGAATTACCTAATTATTGCACAGTTCCCTAACAAAAAGCAGCCAATCCATAATTGAACATCAAAGCATCAGTGCAGTATCATGTTGATGTAACTTAAAATTTTTAAGACTGCTAACCGGAGAAAGTATTTCCGAACCTTAATTAAATTTCAAATGTGTTGTCTCTTTTTAGACAGGACTTGTCGTTGATGTCAGTGGCGGTGAGACTAAACCCTTCACAATTTTGTTCAGAAGATATTATCCTGGAGATGCCCCCTTACGAATTGACAATCTGTGTCAAGACTTATTCTTGAAGATTCATCAACAGTATCTAGGGCAGGTATGGTGTAATATGAATTTCATACTCTCATCTTTTTCTCATCTAATTTTTTGGTCTTTCGTGCTTTTGTTTCAAGTTAAAAGAGGCTCATCTTAAATGGAATTTGGGTGGAGTTTAACAAACAGTAATTAATTTGAAAGTTATGAAAAGCAACAAAATTGAATTTAAGTTTCAAATCATTTTTCCTAGGTTGTCTTGAAAGTGCTGTGACTGGTCCTTATTCCAGTAAACAAGTAAAACTTGCAAATTGCCTCTCCTACAGCCTAGAAGCATAAGTCATCAATTTTAAAACATATCCTTGTCAAGCTTAACGAGTCAAACACTTGATGAAGAATAGAGTTTTCTTTTCATTGTTTTTAGGCAGAATTCTTCTTGTGAAGTTATTTTTAAAAAAATCAAATTAGAATTTTACTTTTCTTTGTCGAAATATCGCCTGAAAATTTGCAAGGGAGCCCTTCAATAAAAGATCTTTAAAACTCCATAATTTTATCTTATAACCTTCTTGAGCTGAGGGCTTTTTTTTAAAGGTGATAAGGTACTATTTAAGGCTTTACAGGTTACATTTTGCAACTTTTATTTGTTTGCTCTCAAACGAACCAGTGATATGTATCACCTTTAGGACAGCCACTATGCTGCTATGCATGTTATATTATCTGCTTCTCATTTTCACCATTTTTCTATCTCATGGAAATAAATTGAATAGATACCTGATTGAAAAATAACTTGAAAATTTTTGCAATTAGTCTTCGAATTTTCTCCCTCTATATTTCTGTTTTTTGTCAATTTTTTCAGGTTGCGTTATTAAGCCCCTGCCAGTCACTTTTGTACACCTGGGATGACCCTGCCAAAGACAGAGTGTTGGTCTGGAATGTTTATAACAAAAAGTGCTCTGGGTTTTACGCAAATTTTGGAAAGGTAAATCTTTGCAGGATTTTTATTCATAGAAGTAGTTTTTTCTGTTATTCTTATTTTTTATCATTTTATTTCGATTAATATGATGCAAAGTTTTTGAGGCAGTGGAATTTGGAGGGGAAGAAAGATTAATTTATTCTAGGGATAGGAAGTACATTCCAAAAAATTTCACCAATTCTGCTGAAATTCAAGCTCTCTGGAGGATTATATTGTTTGTAATGTAGGACAGAATAGCAACTGGAATAACAACTCAAACAAAGAAAATATCAGCTAATAGCAGTTTTCAACAGTTAGGTGTCTTGAATTTAAACTAGTATGTTTATGAGCACATGTTTTTCTATCATGTAATTTTTGATTTTTTTTAGGATGGTTATGGCCAAGAGCGGGTTAGTTTTCACATGGTGAAACCACAGAATAATCAACAAACGTTAACAGCAGTAGGTGCTAAATTATCGGCCGGATTGAAAAAACTTTCTGTTGGCCGGCGGGAAGAGACAAACAGTGTTAAAAGCAGCAGTAGCGATGATTCTGACCTGGATGAAAAACCTCAGGTATTGGAAAAATTAGCTTCTCAGTCCATTTTTGTTTCAAAATTATGTTTCTAGGTTTTAAATGAATTTCAAATGTCATTAGCCTCTCATTGGTTTGTCCCATATTGAAATTTTTAATATGTTATGCGTTTTTTTTTAAAACAAAGTCGTCAAATCTCCTCACTATGTATGTCATTTGAATGTTAAAAACCTTGAATGGACCACTAGACAAGGTACGAATTTCAGCATTCTGATTCATGTTCCTTGACCAAAATTTCACGTAAAACTCGATGCGCACAACGAAAATTACCGAAATCAACTCCTTGCGAAGTTATTTAATGATTCTTGGTGCGTAAATTCAAATCACCCGCTCATGAAAACTCAATGCCCTGCGTGATTCACATCGCGCGCTAAATGTTATCATGACACTCTCTGCGATATAAAAATTTGGCAACCTCAATCTTGACGCTTTGGCTCAGCTATAGCAAATTGCTAATAGTCTGAACAACACATGGTGGGAAATGAACATTGCTCGGTTGAGAAGCTTGCTGAAACCGTTGTAGTGCGCGATTTGACTCACGTATAGCTTTGAGTTTCTTGTGAGCGGGCAGTTCAAATTCCTCGTAACCAATGTGAAATAAAAACGTTAATATCTTCGTCAGGAGTTGGTTTCAGTAATTTTCGTTGCGCGAATCGTGTTCTACGTGAAATTCTGGTTAAGAAACATATATCAGATTGCTTAAATTTGTACCTTGTCTAGTGGTCCATTCTGTGCTGCACTAAATTTGCTCAATACTGTATTGATTCATCGCAAAAAATTCCTAGTTTTATAATGAGCCTCTTTAAGACCTCAAGTTATTTCTTGCTGTTTGCAAAATTTAACATGAACTCTTCTTTATTGTTATCTTCCTGTCGCATAAAGGTTTTCTAGACCTCATTGATTTATTGATCATATTTTCAGCTCACTAAGAAGACACGCAAGGACAAAGTGATGGTTTATTGGGTGAGCTACTTAGAAGGATTTCAGCGAGTCCTCCTTTTCACACAAGATGAAAAACTTGCATTTCAAATGAGGAAAAAAATTGACTTTGAAAAAAGCAATATGGAATTGTTTTTCTCTTTGAAAGGCATCGGAATTTCTCTGGTAAGTGAGTCTAGCTGATAAGAACGAGATTCATTAATTTATTTTTCAGGAAAGAAATTCTTCATCGAAATAGAAATAGCAACAGTAGTCTTTAGTGTGCTCCACTGATAGTTTTTATAATCAGTTTTTGATAAGGTATCTTTAAAGCAAACCAATTTTTCGCCCTTTAGTGAGAATCTATTTCACTCTACTCCTCTTGGGAAGCTAATCCTCAAAAACTAAAAGTCTACCAATAGGAAGCTCTAGATGACCCGTCAAGCCCACCCACTGATCATTTTTCAGATTGAACTGATCAGAAGTTACATTCAATAAAGAAACATCCATGAGACGTTCACGTGATTATTATATAATTTTCTTAGCTTCATTTAAATGAACTAGACTGAGTTTATCAGAGATTGTCGCATTTTAAAACAAAATTTGTTTGGAGTATATTGAGTCTTACGGATGTGTATAACTTGAAACCTCTTTCTGGATTCAATTGGACGCATTTCTGCCAAACGGAACCATAGACGAGTGGGAAAGATGGGGTGTGCTCTAGAGAGCTGCATAAGGAACAATGTTAAAGTGGGCGAGATTCCCTTTGGAGAAATGGAAAAGCGGAATTTTACATTCTGTCAAACAGAACTATGTGCCAACTGAATGCGGCACTCATGAGCCGTGGGCACAGCAGAAAAGCGTTGTGGACAGGGCTTATGAGTTAATGATCTACATGGGCGCTAACATTACTGGCGCTTTACAATTCCCATTCATTCTTATGGCCCTCCACTTACAAGCACACATCTTCTTTCCCACCTGTCTCTTGTTTTCGTTTGGCAGAAACACATCCAATTACAAGACATCTTGGTACGTTGCTGGTAAACTTGGTCCAATCCTGAATACTTTCAGTCCGCCTCAGTGCTGACAGTATGAAAAAAGTCTTTCGTAAAAGAAACAACCAGAGATCAAAATAGAAATCTATTATTCTTTTATTTCCTCTTTTCCGTCAGATACATGAAAGAAATTCTCGACAGCAAGAAGTTGTGTACTTGAATATACTGGACTCAGCCGCTCTTTGGGAAGTTTGTGTTGCTCATCGCTGGAAGCTCTTGACTTTAGAATTAGCCTCATGGGTGGAAGCATCATGGCTCAGTGGTTCAAAAAAAGCGCAGTTAAAAGACTATGTCCAGGTACTCAATGTCCATGTCAATCAAGATGGTTTTAATGTGATTTTTTATAATCAAGGATGAAGGATACTTGCAATAGATCTGCATGTATCTCAATTGCAACTCTCAGAAAAGATCAATCATAGTTTTCATTTTTGAGGTTCTCAGTTGAAACCAAGGAATGCTATGCTAAATTATACACAATTAAGTGGAAAATACTCTTTTGTAAATTACTCGACCAATATTTTAACTGTGTACAGCTATTTATGCTTTTGAAGCTAGGCACTGCTATACTTTTGAGAATATCAGTTGAGGATTGTACAGTGTGGGCAAATAAATCAGGTCTTTCAATAGGATGCCTCCAGTTTTCCTCTTATTGGAGTACATTAGGCAAACATAGCTGAATAGTCCTGATTTGAAGCTTGTTACGCTGCCGTGCTATAAAATGCAAAATCCTTTTCTTCAGCGAGCCAAACAGTCATAAGTTATTTAGCTTGCTAGATTTTTGGACACAGGAAGATATTTGTATTTTCAGAAGCAAAAGAATAAAGTGACAAATTTTCTCTATAAATGCATCGGAACGGGAGAAAAATTGGTGCAACTTCTACATGTCTTGTTTTCAACTACTGTCTCAGAAATTAATATTTTTTCATCCCTTTTCTAGATTGACTTTGAAAAAATGCAGATGACCAAGCCCTTTTTTGGAGAACTGAGACGTTTTTACAACCCTGCTGTCTGGTTCCAGTTACGAAAATCAGACCATTACATTTATTGGCAATGTAAAATTCACAAGTTGCAGGTGAAGTTTATATTTCTCTAGAAAAAATAAGATTCATCTTGATTTTTGGCTTTACGGACTCGGAGTTACCTTTTTTTTTTTTTTTTTTTTTTTTTTTTGCATTTTCAGATCATGCCGAATTTTTATTATGCCAAAAATTCATGAGTGATTGAATATTTTTGACCTTTTTGTGGTTTTAGTATCTAAAATGCCTATTATAATTAAACATTGTGAATGTCTCAAGTCAAACTGTTCTTATATTCTTTCATTTTCATACTGAGCAAAATCAATTTGTGAGTTTGCATATTCAGCAGTTTATTTTATTTTGAGCTGATTTTCAAGTTGCTACTGTCTCTTAAACAACTTTCAAAAGTATTGATGTTTTTTCCTTTTTGATTATTATTTATTAAACATGGAGTAGACAGAAAATTCAGTCATGAGGCAAAAATGCTGGACCGTTGATATAAAACAGTGGATATCTACGAACTTTTTGCACCCTTGTCTAAATATATAGTCCAAATACAAGGAAGCCTAAAACTTCTAGCTCAACAGTCCTGATTTTACAATTTGTCTGTCTTAGAGAAAGTTGAGCAAGACATAGCAAGAACTTTTAATGGAAAAGCACAGAGTCTATCAAGTAGGGTAGCCCCTTTTCTTGAAATAATACGAGACAGACTAAATAAAATGTTTAAGCCACCCCCCCCCCTTTTTTACATAAAGCAAATGCTTTTGTCCTTTTTTTCTATGTTTTTAAATACGTTTGTCCTTGATACATTAGACAACAATGAAAAAAATCAACTTTTGGTGCCGAAAACAACAATTTAGCTGCTTTTCATTACTGATAATTAATGGTCAAGCTATATGTACAGTATTAACAAGTATCAGTAACCAAATTTGTACGTTTCTTAATTTTATCTGTCTGATATTTTTGATTTGGGAGCAATTTTTAAAATGAACAAAATTTTAATGCAAATTTTGGTATCTATTGATATTTATTTTATATAATTTCTTCGTAAGAATCTGGGTTTTTTAACTATCCTTTCTAAGAGTCATTGAGGTGCCAGGGTTATCACATCATTGTTTCGACAATTGTTTTAAAGAGATTCTGTCTTTGCAGTCCTCAGACATTTTTCTTCTCTCCCATCTGGAATGAATTTATTTTGATTTTTTTAGGTCGATAATCAGTTACCGGAGGCCATTTTTCCTGTTGTCCTTTACTCTGTTGCCACTCCTCTTCCAGTATTGCGTAAAACTGGGCCAAAACCTTGCATCAATGTATCAGCAATGAAACGGAATCAGCCCATTCAAAGCCAGACTGTGTTTAAGTAAGTAGTTCATCAATATGTTTAAATCCGTCAATCATGATTTTCAATCTATTCTGTGGAATAAATTTAAATTTTTGAAATCCGCCAATGTTAGTAGAACTAATGAATAATATCAGTATTTGCTATTCCGTGCATCTTAAATTTACAAAAATTTGACGAGAAAAGCAGGTGGCATAATATTTCTGTAAAACCAAAAAATTGAAGGTAATTGTATCATAAAGGTTTTAATACTGTAAAGATTATTCTTTATGTGGGAATTCAGAGGTTTCTATTTTTGTATAACATTTCTTTATCTTTTGTATTTGTTTTGGAGAAATAGCATCTTGCAATTTTCAAACTGCTTTACACAGCATCACTATTTGCATTTGTTCCAAAAATTCATTCTCTGTGAGTAAAATACCTTCAGATTTGATAAGCTTCAGCTTGAGTGAGATATCCAAAAAGACTTTATGAATCATTGTTCGTTGACTTAAGAAATATATTTTTCTTATGTTGCAGATTTTTAAGAGCGTCATTTCAGGAATTCATGATTCAACTTGATCGTGATTTTATTTCATCTGTGTTTTTGCTCCTGTCGCCTTTGATAAAGGAAGAAAAACCATCTATTCGAATTCGGCATGATATAGCCGCCATGCATCAGCCTGTAGTGGTCAAGGTATAGACAAGATAGAATCTCATTTTTCTCAGTTTGAAAATGAATGAAGTAAGAAATAGATTACAGGACAGAATACAAAATCAAGCACCTCAGCATATGTCTCCCCATCAGAATTTTATGTGAAGTACAATGTGTTATGAGTTATGTACATAGTTCCTTCTGATTTAATTCATTTTCTCAAAATTCCTTTCAGCATGAATACAAATAAATAAGAGGGTTGAAAAGTGACTCTGGGATGAATCACAAAGTTACGCACTGTCCTTTTTTGAGTTAATCAATAGAAATGACGAAAAAAGCATGCTCATTTCACTTTCATTCATGAAAACCCTGCTCAGTGTTTGCTGTTTTTCCTCATTCTGCTTTTCTTATGTAATTTTTGTCTCATACCACTTAATTTTACTGATGATTATTTTACTTTATTTCACCTCTCTAGAATGTCGATGAGAATTTCTCCTCTGATCGAACAATCATTGAGCAGATTGCCATTCCACCGCTAAATTTCATCGTCAGCTACTCTCAAACAAGCAGTGACCTCAATACAAATTCAGTCAATCAAGCATTGACCAATTCTTCCTATGCTGCGGATATTTTGTTCTACGTTTTGGAAGTTTTAGCCCCGCTCATTAACGACATCAAATCTGTTCGTTTCAGGTAGGGAATATTCATTAGTCAGAAAAAAAAACAAAAATATTCCTGACCATATGACACAAAAAGCTGACACAAAGCTATTGGGGCAGATATTGACACAAAAAGTAACAAAAGTAAGCGCGTGCTGTGAATGTAGCAAATACATGGAGAGGCTCGCTGAAAGCTTTAAGGTGAAAATTATAATGTAAGCATTGCCTGGATCAATAGTTACAATGTGCGGTTCAATGTGTGACATGGCAAAAAAAAAAAAAAAAAAAATGAAAAATTTAGAAGTAAGACTTTGAAGTGGTTGAGAAATTCATTTGTATGTTACGATGAATTTACCCCTTAGGTAAATAATGGTCAACATAACGAAATCATTTAAGCGAAGTGCAGGTCTGTTTTTAATTTCAAGCAATAAGTTACATATTGTGATAATGAGTATTACCCATTAATTTTAATATCCTCACCTAATTTATGAAGTTTGAAATGAAGTTATGGCATAATTTATGTTTTTATTTCTCAGGACTATGTGCTTCAAGCAGTATGGAATCAGCAAAAATCTTCACACAGTTCTGAGAAATGTAGCACAACATTACTCTACTTACCTGATGCAACAGCTCTATGTAAATGTTCTGGAGTGGGATGTTTTAAGCAGTCCATACTCGGGTAGTTTCAGGCAATCATCGGAGGAAGCATCTTTGAATTTTATGGAGGTAAATTGGAAGGAGGATATACAAAATTAACGAATGTTAAACTTTTTAAAATAAGCTGTAAGTAGGCTTTTTATAGCTTTTTATAATCGCTTGATCGCAGATAGAAAACATCTTCAACAACTTGTTTGTGCGGCTAACTCAAAACCGTCACAAATCGAGTTACGCACTTCTGCAGTTTCATCATCGTTTTGCTTCTTCTCCTTTTCCCTTCACTTTTATCTCACCTTTTCTATTATTGAAAACTTTCAGAGCTCACTTCTTATATTAAATTTTTACTTCTCGCTTTTTTTTTGGCCCCCTTTATTCATGTCATTATTTATTTTAGTCGAAGTACATTCATTTTTTTACCGAAGTAATTTTTTACTTTTTCCATAAAGCAGAGAGAGCTGGAAGATGTTGATGAGCTATCAGAGGGCCTTTGCACGAGTGCTAAGTGTTTGATGGGTCATATTGTTGGTTGCTCTACAGCAAGTGCCTTGATCATGTCAACGTGCAATGATTCAAATTCAAGCATGCTCAGCTTCAATGAAGACTCAAAAAAGGTAACTTAACTTTTATTTCCTGAATGCAATCCGAATTTGATTATTTATAACCATTTTAAGACTTAGTTGAAGTTCTTTTTGATCGGTACACTCAGTGAATATTGTCTTTTTTCTTATTGAAAACCCACACAAACTCTGCCCTGGGAACTCTGACCAAAGTCAGAGTTCCTAAAATTTCAGTTTCTAAAATTTTTGACAAAAAAATTCTAAAATTATAAACAGTTATGGTCAATTGGTCTAATGTATTTTAATATGGCAAAATGGCAAAAATATGGCATATATGTTAATGTGGACTAGTATCTACAAAATCAGACACTGTCTGAACTTATTAATATCAGACGTTGTCTGGTTTTGTAGATGGGTTTGGTAATTTAGGGGTAACCATAAAAATAAATTGTGATAAATTATTTATTTACATTATAAAGAAAGAACTTTTAAAGCTTCTTTAATATCCCTTTTTCCTTTCTTTGTCCAGAAAAATGTATTCTTTCCACAACAATCGACTCTCCCTGGATTTATCGTATCAGCAAACAACACACTTGAATTGGGAGTGATGCTAGGTTTTTCAGGAGTTACTGTTAAACACAGTGCCGGTAAGTTTCGTAAGCTTTTTTTTTTTTGCTGTCATAGTTTTTAATAATCTACGTTTCTTTGTCTCTTCAGTCCAACCTCGCTGTGTCAGAACCTGATTTAGTCAGAAACCCAGCAAACTCATAAATATGGCCTGGTCCTATTTTTTCACTCATTTACCCAATGCCATGAAAGTTTGAAGGACTCAGAATTGACCAATTGGGAATTCTCTTCAAGTAGTAAACTTTTTGGTTCCAATTGAAAATAATATTTTAATAAGTTCCAGGTTCCTATTACTTATAAATCTACTCATTGGTTTCCTATCTCCATGTTCCCAACTCTCTTTTTTAATGATTCTTGTCGCTAAATTGAGCCACCGATCATCACTCCAGTCCACTGCCTCTCACCGCTGTGGCTGTACTGAAGCCAAGTAAACAGATATTTTTAAGTCTCTCTTCAACTCCATGACATCTGTGCATCCCTAACTTTTATCTCAAACCTCCGTTCAGAAAAGTCCTAAATCTTTCATTTAATCAGCTGTAGTGCAAGAGAAGAATTGGCATAGCAATTTTGCCTTTCGGCCCTTTGCTGCCTGTCGCCCACTGACGTCAAGACATAACTGTACTTTGAGGTGAGCCCTGTCATTGGTATAACTCTGTGCTTTCCCACGCTCATCACCCATTTGATGACAGTTTAGAATGCTAACAGTTAGGTTAAGGTTTTAGGAAGCATTTACAAAATGGTGCGCATCAATTTAAAACCTTGATTTCACAGGTTGTAGGAGTGCTGTGTTGTGCGACCACTTCCTCTTGTTCTTTGTCACTACCAAAATATGTGAGTCATGATTTGTGCCTAACAATTTGTCTCCATTTTTCTCTTTTATTCTCTTTAGTGTATCTCTAATATTGAGTAAATGCCTTGATCATTGTTCCAGGGACTCAACAAGGAGGCATAGACAATTTCTTTCGGGGTGCAGGTAAAGGACTTTTTACTTTGCTCAGCCAACCATCAGTCCAAGTAGGAGATGTTGTAGAAATGTCCAAAAATAGCATAAGAAGGTGAGATACCCTTATTTCCTTTTTTCTTTTCAGCTAAATATATTTACACCCATCATGAATCCTCTCTTGTTGAAAAAACTTGAAGACATAGAAGTGCTGAGATGTACCTGTTTACAGGTCTTAAATTTTCACGATGTGTGAATGTGATTGTTGACGGGGAAGAATTCCTGATTTACAAAAACAAAAAATTTAGTCATACACACCAGCGGCTGTTCACTATGTGTGTCTTGAGGACTGACCAAAACTGAGTTTTAGGGTTCGAATTGTCATGGGGTAAATTGACCTTAAGGAATCCAAAAAAAATATTTTTAGTTCCCCCACCCCCCTCTTGAGAGGTTTTCTCAGGGTAAGGGGGGTGCTACTCTCCAGTTTCTTGTGATTTTTAAATAGGAAGGATATGTTTCGACTACAGATTCAGATTCTATAGTAAAGACTGAGAACTATTTGTCTCGGGCAGTTTTTCTAGGCACCTTTTTTCTTGCCTTATGAGGCATTTTCTGACATTTTGGGGAAATTTTTTAATCATATGTTGTAGGCGCTCAGTGCGTCCAAATTTCAAAAACACAAAGAAAACCTGGACAATAAAATATTGTCATGAAATGCATAACTATTTCTTCTCTCTTTTTACTTTTCTATCTAGAGCTGCTGAGATGGGTGAGGAAATTATTCTTCGATCCAGGCTGCCAAGACATATCAATCCTTATTTTGTAAGTAATCCATTTCTTGCCCCTTAAAACTTTATTATACAGTTAACTTTTACGACGTCAGCTACTATGACGTGTTTATAAAAGCTGTAATTTTTTCTTGTGTCAGATTTTGAGAAAGTAAAAATGAAAGTTGATTTCGAGTTCAAAAACTTTTAGACTTTTCATGTGAGACATTAGATCTTCTACATGCACGTTTAATGAAATACTTGGCTATTATTTAAAAATCATTCATCTGTAAAATCAAAGTTGTAGCACCTATGTAAAATGAAATTTTGTAATTCAACATTGTGAATAGTTCTCACTCATTTGTCGTTTTTCAGGGCGTTCGTCCATTTTCTCTGTTTGAATCTACTGGGACGATGCTGCTGCACTCCTTAAGCAAAGGCCACTACATAAATACAGACCATTACTGGGGACATGCTCCGCTGCAATCATCAGGAAAAATTTGTCTGTTAATCACTCTGCAGTAAGTAAACCACCTAAATCTAAGTTCACACAGACATTCTTATCGACTTGATTTTTAGTAAAAATATCATTCACAATCTCTAAGTCATTTCCTTACAATAAAAATGTCCCTCTTTTTTGACAAGCAAGTTATATTTATTCGTTGACGTAAACCATCTGGTTGAATCCGCACTATAGCTTTGTATCACTTCTGCGCCAGAGCTCAAAATTCAAAACTTTTGACTGTTGTACCTTTTAAATAAAGTGAATGATCGATTCCAACAAAAAATGTGTAGTCAGAAGGAATTCACACAATTTGAGACGCAATCAGTCCTACCAAGTAGGAATTTGACTCCCCAAATTTTTCATTTTGTCTCACATTATTAGTATGTGGTTAAAACCAGGCTTAAAAATAGTCAACTTGAATTAGTTTCAAAGATACATCGCACTTCATAGGGATTTTATTCATTGTCATGACTTGTCCTGATATTGGTGCTTATGTTGCCGTACACAGCCTAAGTGAAAATTTTATTGTTTTATAAATGCTTCAGCATCCATTCTCTTTAAGATTGAAGAATCACCAATTTAACTGATTCTGGTTAATCTCTTTTTTCCTTCAGACATATTTTTCTGCTCCAAAAACCTCGACAATGGGGTACTTGGGAAATCGACTGGCTCATCAGGATTGATGACATAATGCAAGTTCCTACGGTTAACGACCACAAACTTGTCCTCCAAGTTAGACAGGTATTTTTATTTTTTCATTTTTCTTTCACAATTATTCCTAATTTTAGTGTTGGCTTGGTTGAAAAAGAAAAAGAAATTACCACTTCATGATTACCATTTTAGGATGAAAAAGTAAGTTTCTACTCAATTATGACTCGGTCACCACGTCATAGTGTGCTGTTGGTTTAGTGGAATAGTTTGAAATGTATTCATGAAGTTGATATGGTGGTTCATAAGTTATTATATTCATTGTTTTGTTGTGTATTTACACATACATAATGGGTCTGTTGCACGCAAGAAATACAGCCAATTGAATACCGTTTCTTAAGGTAAATTCGCTTGAAAATCACCTCGGGCACATTAAAAAGTCTGAAATCCACTTCTTTTCCGCAAAATAAAAAGGAAAAAGAAAACAAACAGTCGAAAACGATTGAAATCCAATAATAGAAAAATTTGCTGAAATCGTTACCTAGTTTACTCGGGTCAGATTTTCTTACACCTCTGTCTGTGCAAAGTTGATCTGCGGTCACTGAGAAAAACCGCCCACAGACGTGGGAAACTTGAAAAAACGTGTTACAAATCAAACAGATTGCGCACTAAGGAATGGATTTCAGACTTTTTTGGGTGATTTTGGTGGGATTTAACTTGCAAAGAGTGTTCCATTTGGTTGTATCTTTTGCGTTCAGACCCATTGAAAATGTAGTCACACTTACTTTGAGCAGCGCCAAGTTTGCAAGTTGCAAGTAACCTCAGCTACATTTTCACGACTCCTGAGATAGGAAGCAGAAAATCGGGAGGCCTTTCATTGTCCGTTGAGGGGTCAATCAACAATCCTGAACTATTGCCACAGTCATTCTCCTGACTTTCCAGGGAATTTTGCACTAAAAAGCAAATTTCCCCGGAGAAAAATTGTGCTCTAACAAGCTGTTATGCTCTATCATGAAAGGTTTCAGTGTTACACGAAATTGAAAGTATGATGGTGAATACACCCTCTCTATCTAAAATTAATTTGTGTGTTTTCTCTATTATGAAGTCGTGTGTCGGCACTAACTTTGGAAATTCGGGTCGAAACAGTGATCACTAAGTGGAAAAGTTTAAATTGATTGCAATTTGCCATTATTTTCATTTTTCTCTTTGTTTGACAGGATCAAAATCTACCATATGCATCCAGCAACGAAATCATTATCCCTTGCGATGACAACTCGACTCTTGTCTGGCTTCAGAAACAAATAGAGGCAGTAATTATTCTGAGTATGGAAGATAAACCATTTTCTGATGTAGAAATTGAGGAGGAAACCGCGTAATATCGTACATTCAAACTGTTTAGAGGAGATCTCTCTCCAAGGTCTCATTCTTGATCTCCAAAAAAATTGTGTGTTAACCTGGTGTAATCAGGTTGTACAAAAAAGAAATTCTTTCCTCTTTTGAAGATCGTTAGATCCTCAAAACACCCAAAGAAGTATTACTAGATATATGAAGTATTAGTCTTTAGAAAAAGTCTGTTTAAAGAAATAAGACACATTCTCATGAAACATGAAGATGCTTTTTTTGCAATTATGTAGCAGATTTCTTGTAAAAATTATATACGGAGGGTGCTAATTGTTGAAATAATTTCATTGCAATAGTGGTCATTATGGCCATTTTATCAATTTGTTTCTTTTGCTTAAGTTTACTTTTATTGCTTTGAAAAAGGGTTTGTTCCTCACTTGTTTGATTAGCAAGTAGCGGTGCTCATGTTATACATAGTAATTTATGACTGAAGAAATGTAGTGCTTGAATTGTGGTGTTGTTGCGCTCAATATTTCATTTTTAAGGGTTTTAACAGATCCAAAATCTTACAGTTCTCAATTAATGATCATTACGACATTTATTTCATGAAATAGAGGACTTTTCCTCATTTGAAAAAACCTCCAAGTAGAGGACTAATGAATTTCATAAACGGTACGAGAGTCATAACCCATTTCTATTTTGAAATACAATATTTTTTCATAGATTTTGTGATAATCTCCAAGAGACTTCAAGCATTCCCCTTTTATTTTGCTTTGTTTAGTAAGTTGGGAACATTTTTTTCACTTCTAATTCGGAAGGAAATTTCTTCTTTGAAACAATTTTCTCCTTTTGTAAGGGCTTTTCAACCTTGAACGTTCAAAATTTGCGTAGGCATGCAGTGTGTTCTTTCAAATCTGAGAATTCTAAACTAAAAGGAGGTCTCTAATGGAAGTGATCAGGAATTCACGACCTCAAAGCAGGTCAATTTCATGCCGAAGTTTTGTTTCGCTCCGTTTAATCTTCTTTTGAGGAAATTAATCTTTCTTTCCTTGTCCCGACGGCTGTCGGAAGCTATTATTAATTGTAATGTGTTTTTTGTTCTGTACTTCTTTTTATCGAAAGTACCTGTAGTAGTTGATTTAGCTAGTCAGATATATTTTTTTATAAAAAATTGCAACTTGTTTCTCCATGGTTTCAGTCTAGACAAATAATTACAATTCAAAAGAAAGAAAATAACTATTTTTACCTGGAAATATGAATAAAAAAATTCTGCAAAAAACCAATGACTGATGCATTCTAAAGATTTTTTCTGTAAAAGGGGGGCTCATTCATGTCTCTTTAGTGTGGGCTCATTCGCTTGTGTAAGTTGAATTCAACAGACATAGGAGAGGAAGGCTAAGAAAAGTAGTCCTAAAAATAATTTTTGGCGTGAAAGGTGTAGTTTGAATAAAACTTTAAGAACACTGTTTTGAATCAATGCAACGCTGAAAATAGTAATTGAAGTTTCAGCGATTTTGACTAACATTTTGGCAGCCGATCAGCAGGCTGATTTTTTTTTTTTGTACTGAAAACTGAAAAGAGGATGCAGGACCGATCTGCAAACTTCTCAGAACTAATTTAGACAATAATTAATTGAAGGTTTAATTTAATGTAACGTAAGTAAGGGTGAAATTAAATGACTCAAACTTGTTTTTATTTTTGTATAATTCTGCTCAGTTTTCCTCAAACATAAAAAAGTCATTTAGCAAACGCGATAGAATCTTATCACGGTGCTTGTGAATTTATTTTTCTATTTGAATAGAGGCGTTTTTAAGTCAAGATGGCAGTGTTATAGCCACATTTCTTTGCATCGCAATCTCCATTTTGAAGTAAAACTCCCAGCTTAAGCCGGAATTCTAGAAAAATTGCAAAACAAGTTAGAAAGATATAAAGAAAAGATAAGATAATCGAGGTAAGATTCAGGTAATCCTATGAAAATGTATTTTTTGTCAGTTTGGGTGTAGTTACGACTATTTTTGATCATCTATGATTTTTATTGATTCGAATTGACTCGGTTCTGGTCAATCTAGGTAATTAGAAGATTCTATCATTGTTAATCGAATAATTGTCTTAACCTCATTAACTATTGATGGGAAAACCCACATTTTTGTCTCGCAAATTTCGGAGTGTTAACTTTCTTGAATATGGTCCTAAGAAGGAACATTTTTGGTGATGATTCTCAATAAGCTTACCGATCAGTTGTAAATGTTTATCACATCTCAAAGTAATTTTCCTTAAAGGCCAAAAATATTGCCAATTCTTCATTAGCCTTTTTGTTCTTCGTTGTTTTTGTTTTCAAGTCTTTGTCTATCAGATTACTGATTTAATATTTTTAAATTGACGAAGTAGAATGTTGCAAATTTTTGAGTTGTCACTTTTGTTTAAGAGACAAAAAAGAGGAACCTTTTTGTTTGATATTTGTTTCTCATCTGTTGAAATATTTTTATTTATTTAAGCCTTTGGCTTATTTTTTCTCTTTTCTTATAATTGTTGGCGAATTGGCTGAAGAGATTTATATATCTTTAAAAAAGTTCTTATACCTTCTTGTTTCTTGGTTATATGTTTGATGTTACTCTCTGTTAAACTATTGTAATGCGTTGTTAAACTCAAATAATGTATTGGGGCAAACATCGCCAGCGCCAATTGAGGGCTACCCAATCTCCACAGGACCAGTGTAAAATGGTGCAAATGAATTGAAACTATCACAATACAAATTAACTTTAGAGATTTGAAATTTTATTCTCTCACCCATTTCGTCAACAATGAGAGAAGGAAGGGTAATACAAATGTAAAATTCAGGGTTTGTGATACTCTATTGGCGCTTGTGATTTTTCTATTTCTGTTTCTTTTCTTGTCCCTCATTTCTTTTTTGCTATTTAAATAAAACATTAGAAAAACAATACTATTGTAAACATTTTTTCGAATTCTTTTTGATTACCAGTTTAGGATTTTAAAAGACGAATCATTCAGAATTTTTTTTTTAAACAAAGATGCTTGCACTGTATGTGGGTAAATCTTAGTTTTATCATCTTAACTAATTTTGTAGTCACGTGAGAGTATCGTATTTAATATGTTCGTTTCGTTTTCGTTTCTTTTAAAATGGCTTAATATAATAATCGTCTATTAAGAGTGTGGGTAAGGCTTAATGTTCTTCTAGATTTGCATTTTTAGTTCAAAAAATACTACATTTAAATTTTCAAAAAAAGGGTTTACCTACACTTTGATAAAGGATGGCAGAAGAAGTGATAAAAACGCTTAAATTCAATTTATTTATAAAATAAAAATAACATTGACTAAAATATAGAAAATTTTTTAACAAAATATAAAAAAAATGTTCCATCAACAATGAAACAACCAGTAAAGTCTGTAGAGAAATACAATTAACTCCTTCAATTATTCAAAGGGGCAATTCCAATTTCATAATGCTGAATTTGGCAGACTCGAGCATTTTGACAGTTAAAATTTAACTTGCCACAGAAAAGATCTTTTACAATTTAACTTCTGTACTGGAATTCTTAGAGAGGTGAGATTCCCTGTAAAGCTTCTCACTAATGGTGCGTTGATACCTAGAAAAAATGAGGTTTTCTATGGAATCCCATCTCGTCAGGGAGACATAATCTCATTCATCAGGCATTTCTTTGCCTATTGCTACAACATCTACTTTTAGAGATGTTGTATACATATCACTATCATTCAAATCAAAGATTTTAGAAGAACAGACCTAACAGAAGTTCCGATTAAACTTCTTCCTAAAAGCAATACTATCAAGGAAAATCATATGCATCATGTATTTGAAAAGATCGAGCTAACTGATTTTTTTTTTTTTTGTTCTGTATTATCTGCAGATAAAACAAATTTGACAAGGACACAAAGGAGTTTTTAAGAAAGAAGGAAAACCTTCCTTGTATTATGAATTATGATGAATAAAGGCATGTTCAGAATGCTGCCCTAGGGAGGGTTTGTACTTCATAAAATCTTAAGTACAAAGTCTCATGTAACATAAATCAGGAGTAGACAGGCAGGCAAGAACACCGGGAAAAATTCTGGAATCGGAAATAGTAGGCTGGTCGATATTTATGGTGATTTTGAACAGGTTATTACATGGCTTAAAACAACTCAAATGGGCTCATTGAACCACTGGAAGCCCAGTATACCCGATCACTTTTATGGTGCCAGTCCGCCCCTCCCATTAATACGTCCAACTGAATGGCATTTTGCAGAGAAAATCTGAGACTTCGGATAAAAACTATCAACAAATTTGATGACTGGATCAATATATTGCGATGAAAATTCCTCAAGTATATTATAGAAGTAGCAAAATTTGGCCGACATTACATAAGATGGTGAAGAACAACAACAACTCAGCGTTACTCATTGGTAATTCAAAACTTCATCCTCCTTAAATTCTCTCTGCCACACTAGTTTCTTTCTTTTCTCTCCCTCTTAATTCGTTTTCCTTGATTTACTTCCTCGCATTTACAGGTTACTTTTACATTAAAATTCCTGTGTTAAATATATTACTAATGCAAGCTGAGTATTGATTGATTTTTTCAGTTGAACCATGCAGGGTTTACAGAATTTAAAGGTGAACATAGTATTCATTAACAAAAACGAGATTTAGAACATACATAACTGAGAAAATTTCAACAGCAGGTAAGACACAGTGAAAATGTAATCGAGTGATTTCTTGAGCAGGTATTACTCCAATCAATGAATCCTGAGTCAGAGTAAATAACATGTAAAAGCTTAAAATTGTACCGAGCCATAGTATTAACGTATGATTTTTTCTGCACTACTTTTTACACCCATAAAAAAAGATTCATTAACATTGATTAATGACTACCAGTTAAAAATCATTTAAATTTTAAACTTCAATTTTTTGATCGGGATATTTTTATCTTCAACTTTCTACTAGTTGATACACTGTTAAATCCTTGGTATTTTTGTACATACTGACTTATACCATATTATTTTGACAAGAGCCATGACTTGTAACCGAGCTCTTGGAACTACTTAAGCTGAGGCAACTCACCTAAACAGAGTAAGGACCTGAAGCCTTCTCAGAAATCATAAATTTTCAATCCATTCAAAGGGGTCTAAAGCATGGTTTGAAATGATTCTTATTCACACTCCATATTTTACTGCACATTTTAAAGATCCATACAGAAATATTACAATTTAGACTGCTATCTATTTCACTCTAGTAAGAACTGAGAACTTATTTTAATGCTAGTTCGTCATTAAAAAAAAAGGTTGATTCCTGTCAACAAAATTCTCTTGTAATATTTCTTGAGAATTAATATTCACGACTTATCAGCAAATTAAAATGAGGAATTTAATATTAAAAGGAAGATAAACTACGAAATCAAAAATAGGTTGGAACTAAAATGTAGAGGGTGAGAGAACGTAATTTACCTCACCCAGTTTATTTCCAAGTCCAAAATTTTGAGTTAAGTGATTTAAACTGTCATCATCGGTAGTTATAGAATCGATCAGAATAAAAGAATAGACCTAAAAAACCTCAATACTTAAAAATTAAACACCTATTTCAATTATTCCTCCTGGAAAATCCAAAAAATATGGAGGTGAGCCGCTTTGAACTAACCAATTTTGCAGCAAATTAAAAGTACACAGTACTAACTTTCCCTTTATCCTGCATCAACAGGATGTACAATTTAACGGTCATAACAGGTCTACAATGGCTCATTGATAATCTTAGAAACAGTCGGTAAAAAGCTGAAAACATAACTTCTATTAATACACACTGAAGTAGTTGAAAGGAGGGCAAATTACGTACTTCAGCAGTTCATTACTTGACTATGCTGCAATACATGAAAGTTACTTAAATTATGAGGATGAAAAGTAGTATTTGATGGAACATTTATATGAAACAACCTAACACAGTGAATATCAATTTACAATTATACTTTGTTAGCTGCGCAGAAAGTAATTTTGGATTTGTACTGTTCGAATCGTATTATCCATCGGGAACATTCGGAGATGAAATCTTTCATTTTGATCTGAAATTCTTAAAGATGAAAGAGTGTGTCAAGAAATGATAAATCCCTCAATTTTAAAATGATCTGCGCAGAGTTGTTGACTTTGGCTTAAAGTTCACGTTTTGTTCCTTGCCTCACTACTTACTTCATGTTTTTTTCCGAGCACTTGAAGTCATCAAGGAAACCAACCTTAAAAGAGAAGTCAGTAATTGAGAGTCTTCATTCTTTATTTTGGAAACATTTGCACCAAAAATATGGTTCAATGAACAGTATAGAAGTGAGCATCAAAGATAATTATACTACCTTAACAAAATTGCTCGGAGAGCACAGTTAAAGAATTTGACTTTTCTGAAATCAATGTGTGTAAGGGATATTACAGTTTCATTAATACTTAATGGTTATCAATGCGTTTACATCTGATTCAGTCAATCAAACCCCCCCCCCCCCNTAATTTATATTGCCTGAAGTCAAATCAACCAAATTTTGGTAGTTATTGGTAAGTTCTTTGAGTTACAAACTATTGTCATGAAATATTCTTGATTTTTCTTCCACTTTTTTTTTACACTGTGCAATGACAAAATTTGTGCCACCTCAATTAGAAAACTGATACAACCATTCTGAAGAACATGAGTGTAAGGTGATGACTTCAAAACACTCTTAAACTCTGAAAGGCACACAAATTAATTTAAGAGAGAGAGAATGTCTGTTATAATAAAAATAAGGCATCTCGTGCAGAAAATTTTCTTTACAAAGAGAGGAGTATAAAAATTCTAGAAGGGGCCATAAATGAAGGGCTTCGATATTTCTGAAATAGATTTTCATCTTAACACTAATGCAAAGTAAACAGGGCGTTCGTAGAAAATTCAAGTATATCTCAGCATTTAGACCTCTGAAAAAGAAGAAATCTTGTGGAAAATTGAGGCCTCTAGTGAATGAGAAGGAAAAGAAACCTTTTTGAGATTTTTAGGAAAACAAGTTTAAAGTTATAAATTTCATTACAGCGGAGTAAGTTGGCAATCACATAACTCGGTTTGCGATGGCGCAGACTTCTTGTCATACTTTATTTTTTAAACGGAGAACTACTCAACGGCAATTCTTTAAAACTGCTGTGATTTTCCTTCTCGGTGCCAAGAAAATTCTGCATAAACTCCAAGGAAGGATGTCAATTTGTTCTCTTTTAAAAAAATAACATAGAGGTGGAGATTTTCAGACACTGCAAACGAGATATGTGATTACAGGCTTACACCGTCGATTAGGTCTTGTAGCCCATTAACAGTTGGGGATCTTGAAATTGTGTCATAAAGATAAATGTTTGGTTTAGTTAGGATCTACTTAGGATCTACTTAGGATCTAATTTTTGCCTTTTTTAAAAATCACTTGCGACTCAATCTTTTTAAATATGTAACTTACCTATTGCATTCACTTGAGGACTCAATTACAGAGACTAAAAATATCAAAAGATCAGAAAAATTGCTACTAGAAGCTTATCAGGTTCTACCGACAGTTTTAACATTTTTGCTAGGACTAGAGGTTTGGGTTTTCTCACAAAATCTGATAAAAATCAACGAACTGAAAGTCTTTTGGTTGGGAATGGATCACTTGACAAGGTAAAAATGTAAGCATTTTGATACATGTTTCCTCATTAATATTTCATGTAGAATACGATTCGCCAAACGAGAATACTTAACTCCAAACCAAACTGGGGTAATGATTTTTTTATTTAGCATTGGTTACAAAAATTTAAGTTTGGTGAACGATTTTCGAATAGAAAACATGTGCCATATTGCTTAGAGTCGCACCTGGGCCAATGGATACAGTAGGAGTTTGGTTCCTTGGGGGATTCTGTTCAGATATGAGGGCTGTTGACTAATAGAAGTAATTTGAATAGATGCCAAAAAATATGTTTATTTAAAACAAACAGAGGATTTAAAGTGATCTTCAAACTGAGAGCTGGTCTTGCTAAGAAACTAATTTTTTTTTCCTCAAATACTTTCCTCTATCTTTGTTCAATAAAAAATACTTTCTGTCTTACATTTACTTGCTACTTTCTTGGCAGAAAAAAAATCCTTCAGAGGATGAAGATACAGCTGGATAACCTATGTCCTACTGTAAACATGAAAATTACAGACAAGTAAGGGGAGAGTCTTCACCAATATTTTCCCCCACAATGTGTGTAATTTAGATCACAGATAAGATTACCTTTAATTACATAATTGAGAGTAAAAGAAAAAAAAGAGAAGAAGGGGAAAAATGATGTTGCACAGAGAGACTTAATAAGAGCATTTCTATTCCGTAGCAGAGACTTGAAGAGAGTCAATGATTATGTAATATTGGATCGATGAAAAATTAACACTTACACCTAAACATAGGAAATAAATAAACTGAAATAAATAAATTATCGTTTGTACAAATTTCGAGTATGATATGAGAATGTACTCAATCGATTAGAGTAAAATGAAGGAGAAATCTTTTATCAACCTTGGAAAATTGTGTACACTGAATAAAAAAAATCAACCCATCCTCTTTTTGGATTTTAACGGAGGGGAACAGTGAGTTAATAGGTTTCAATCTAACAAAAAATAACATGTAATGGCAATTATTTGTAATAATCGTTTTAAATTAAAAATTTTTCCTGATATGTGCTGGTAATAATTGGTCAATTTTTTCCCCCTGAATAGCAATTTACAAGAGAACATACAAAGTTGCTGCACAGTCTGAAAATTTGCTTACCTCTCTTCTTAAGGGGGTTAGAAAAAGAGAAGATATCTCAAGTTAAACAATTGTCTAACTGTTTGGGGAACGCCAGAATTTTGGGCCAACTTTAATTAAAAAAGCAATGAAAATAAGGTGAGCTTCCTCATAGAAGATTTGGACACCCTTAAAAAGGTTTGCTTTCCTTCAAAGTTGTTGGAAAAAATTCAGATTCATTATGACTCAATCAATGGATGATCGTTGAGCGTTCGAAAAACAAAGTATAAAGGAGAAAATTACACATCTGCACTCTAAAGGGGAAAAAAAATCATCAAAACTGTACGACAAAGTATGCATAAGCTTGTAGTATCTGAACAAGTTCCTAGACTTCGAGCATATTTCATGTAACTTTAATTATTATGTTTCAAAAGGAAATGTTACAAACAGCTTAGAAATTGCTTTTGTCAAAAAATTTGATGATATACATTTTCATCCAAACATTAAAGATGGAAAAATAAGAGTCAAATATGCTAAAACATATGCAAAATGTGTTCAATAGTTTGCACTTTACAAAACTGAAAAGTTTAAAGGCAATGTGTGTGTCACTTAAGAGGTAGAGTTAAAAAACAGCATGATCGGTCAATAACATAATAAAATATTCTTTTTAATTCAACCGCACCCTGTAATGAGGAAACAAAATTGATCTAGGAACTGAGATGAGGTCATTACACTTGCGGGGTAAAAATTATTTCTTTCAATAACATTACTCTACGATGAGAGAATGCGAAAATTGATTCTTCGTGAAGTAATAATTACACATAAAAATTACTTATTTAAGAGAACTATTGCTAATCAAAAATAGAGTGAAAGTAGAGGTGCATAAAGCACTGTTAGTGAAATTAGATCATGATGTGTAATATTGTAGAGACCTAAAGGAGTCTAACGTTCCAAGTAGGCTTCAGTGAAGGCATCCTGCTGAAAAACTAAAAAGCCTGTACGATATGTTTAAAAAAACTTGCAACAAGAGTAAAAGAAAAGTTGACCTACAAATGAATTGCTTACACTAACAATGAACTGATTAAGAAGGGTTTCCTTCAGAGAGATTTGTTCAGTACCAAACATAATCAATTTGATCAAAAGCTTTAGTGAAAACAACAAAAATTTGTCATATTTTTGTTCATTTGTCCACATTTTTGCTCTTCACGAGTTTTGTCACATGAAATGCAAAAAACCAGAAGGGAGAGAAAAACAATAATCACCCATGTTCTTGAAAAAAAAAAAAAAGAAAAGGAAATCATTAAGAGAGGGGATGATTATTTTTTTGCGTCAAAGAGGAGCATTAATACCATGTAGAAATGAGAAAATGGCATAATTTCTTTTTGGAAGCTCAAGGAGGTATAGTTATAGAGAGAAAGAATATTTCATTGCACATTACATTCTTCTTTCATAATTGTATCTAATTAGAGTGGACTGCGGAGTGCCGACCAAGCAAATTTGAACATGGAAACGATAACTCCCTCCAAAAATTTGAATTGGGTACATAATAACTTAAGTTAATTTTTTCCTCGTTTGGATTTTTTTCTTACTGTAACTTCTTTCCCCATTTTTCCGTTATACTTGTTTCAGTCACAATCCTGTGTCACTGTCCTTAGCGACTTAAAAACAGCTTACAGTTGATTGAGTTGAGTTGTATGTTTTTTTACACACCTAACAACACAGGCTGCTTCTGCAGATTCTAATCATTGAAATAAAAAAAAAAAACCCTTCTTACACAAGTTGGAAAGAGGGCAAAATAGGATTGAACACACGTTGATGGGTTTGGTTGTGCGCAAGGACGTACCCCCATAGGTGCATAGCGGGTTTGCATACCTTCTGGATGGATTTCACTTGGGAGTGGTCAAGATCTGTCCGCCAGTGGAATGGTGCCGATTTCGAGTCACGATAAGTACTCGAGACACCGCCAATATTATTCTTGGTATGCGTGTCGAGGAACTCGACCACTTTTGGATGCAGATACAGACCAAAAAAATTGAACAACTCCTCGACCATTTTGTACGGCTCCAGTGATAAATCTTCATAACGGATTGCCCTGCAATTTAAATAAATACACAATTACATGAGAAGCATGACAAAATACATAAACAGAATTGAGAGCCTATGTTTTTTTAGGAGGAGAGGGGGAACCTAACCTCACCATCCCTAGTGTGCCTTCAAAGAACAAGATTTCATTTACTAAGTCTTTAAAATATTTTAGCATTGGGTTCAGTTCACCGGATCTCCCAAAGCTTACCTAGTATGGAGCAACTGATTTTGTTAATTACAAGAGATGTGTCTCATAATTCTAGCTTAGGTTCAGGATTAAGAGGTTTTGGTATTGTGTATTTATTTTCAGGATAAGCAATGGAAATCTTATGTTATCTTCACTCTCCGAAAATCTGTGAAAAACTATAAGCATATGGGGGTAATGAAGGTGGTCAGCCAAAAACTGAGAAATTAAAGAAATTATGTGGTCACTACAAAAACATTTTGGTTGTAAAATTTCTTTGTAAATAATTCAGAAATGTTCAGTGACTGTAGGTATGACTGCCACACTCAATTCCTTTGAGAGACCAAACTATAAACCTTTCTTCCTACAAAAAGTCTTCCGAAACAAGACAAGGTAAACTTTTTTGTATTACATGAATGCAATGCTTGGTAATATTATTGAAGGGAACTCCGAAACAATATATCGATCGGGAAACTGCAGAAATGCGTATCTTGGTTTGCTGCAATGCAGACTCCCTGAAATACTTAGTTTTCTTCATGGAAAACTTACAGACGCCATCTCTAGAAAGCTTTGGTAATTTTTCTTCTCTTTGTGAGGAGTGCCCTGTGAAAATTTTAAGCCATGAAGTTGGTTTGGTCTCTTTTTTTAAAAAAAATAGGAATGCAGAATTTGAGACATTGCAATCCAGAAACACATTTTTGCGATTTCACCGTCAATATGTCAGCAATGATACAGATTTTCTGTCACACCTCCTTTTTTCAATGAATAGACTAAATCAGAATCAGTCTAACAAAAACATACGTTACCAAATTTCCTTTCATTTTTACAACAGAAAAGTAATAAACATTTTTACTTAAAATTTTGAGTTTATGTTCTTTACACGCCACATCAGGGAAAATGTACAGAAAGTTTCAAGGCATTTGATTATTCGGTTCTCTGTTAAAAAAATAAAACTAGAGAGGAACTTATGCAATGTAAAAATGCAGTTAGGCCGATCCTGGGCAATGCTGTCTGACTGATTATTATTAATGCTCAATTTTTCATTTGATTTCTTTGTATTTGAAGAATTTAGGATGAAAACATCACGCAGAAATACCTAATGATCCTCTTTTAAAAATGAAGGTGAATACTGACATACTCACTTGAACCTTTTTGGATATTTTGCTGACAACCGAAGGGCAGCACTATAGTCAGCTACGAGATCAGCACAAAGCCGAAGGGGGTCCCAGCAGTCAGGATGGCCTGGACACCACTCTCGATGTCGCCTCGATTGCATTGTCCCTCTGGGGTCACGCACCATTAAAAGTATACGCACATTCAAGCTGTGATGGAAAGAAGCACAGTAAAATAAGCTTTGAGAGTAACAAGAGACTTGAGTGAGTAAATGATCAATTATAGGGTAACACTTTTTCAAATCAATTTCCTTAAGATTTTACTTGGAAAAAATAAAATTTATGACCAGATGATAGTTTTTAGTGAGAAAAAAATAGATGGAAATTTCCTTTGCCCCCAGGGTGTTTGGGCATCGAATATTATTTTCAAATCATGCAGAAGTTTCATAGAAATGCGATTTCATATAAATGGCCTATCAAAGACTTGAGAAAAAAAAAAGAAAAAAAAAAAAAAAAAAAAAAAAAAAAACTTTATAAACTTCCCAGCCATCTTACCGGAAAGAAGTTGATCCAAACAAAATAAGCACATTTAGGAGTTTGTTGAAAGTACTTCGATTATAAATTTGAGATAGTGGAAAACGGATTTTCGTCATTTCTGCATGATGACATTTAATTCAGAACAAAAGAGAAGATAAAACTTACTTATTGTCCTCTAGAAGTTCCTCTACAAGACTCAGTCTAACACGCACAACTTTCATAATTTGAAAGGGGAAAAGTTTACAAAAAGGGCTTAAAAATTGGGGTTCCCAGCACAAATAAGGCCTCACGGTACATTTGTTCCATAGTCGAAAATTATGCTCAAGCAGCCAAGTATGCTCTTGTCCATAACTTAGATAGTCCTCCTCTGAAAAGAAAAAGATGAAGAAACCTGTGAGAGAAAGTAGAAACTTTGGAAACTGTAGAGAGACATGAATGTGGAAGGACGAAAAGAGAGTAGAAGATACAAAAACACTGGAGACCACCAGTTCAGAGTTTTCAAAAAAATTTCTCTCCCACCAAGAGACTCAGGACACCTTCCTTACCAGTGGCTGGCTCCTCTTAACATAAACTTTTCAATTTTTTATGTGTGTATGTATAAGCCGCTTTTACGGCGCGCTAGGGCGCACAAAGTGAGTCACACAAAATTTTTAACACAAGTGATGATTAAAAATCTAACGAAAATGGAAAACAGGCAGAGAATCTTCAGTGTTGCAGGTCCAGATATGTAGATTTGCAGTTTCACCATCGATTCATGGGAGAGTTCAAGAAAAACTACCGACTTGGGGGGTACTAAACGAGCAGAAGAGACGTGGAAAAGTATGACAGGCTTTATTAAGATATAAATTAAAATGAAAAATTTGACAAAATGACAGAAACCTCTATGGAAATCAGGTTTTTTTTTCAGATTCGTCTTGTTCGGTAGGAAACTTGGAGTTGTTAGTTGCATGCATTATAAAGATTCAATAATTTGATGGCGAGGAAGAAATTACCAAGGCCAGTGTAGTTGCAGGTTAACAGTTTTTTGAGCCTTTTCAGCGCCACTCCAGCGATGGGAGCGCCTCTGATTTGAAGAATATCAAAATCTAGAAGAGGCTCGTAATGGTACATCGTAGCTGGGACACTCTGCAAAACATCTCCAAGAAAAGTGGAGCCAGACCTCCATGTAGTGATAATAACACTCTGCAGTGGTTTGCCTCCCTTCTCTGGAATCAGCTTCTCAGCTGACCTGCTCAACATAAACAAAACGCGGTGGATTAGTTTTCTAATTCATGCATTCAACATATTATTTGGCCTAGATGTTGCGATGAGAGACTAACATTTTTGGCTTATCTGTAAAATCACCCATCTGCGCAGGGAAACTAATAGCACTTAAGTCGTTCCTAACATGGGCGAGAGATGGTAGTTCTTTGTTGGCAAATGCAAAACACTTGGTTGGTATGATGAGAATATCTCATGGAAGGATTCAAACATTGATTTGTCAATGGCCTGCATTTCATTTGAAAAAAAAATTCTTCACTTGAAATTAAGTTTGTACCTTCTTTTTTGAATGAATTTTGAGGGTGCATTTCATTCAAGCCTCATCTTTCTTGGTGAAATAGGAGTTTAAAAAGAAATTTCTTTCTATGAACGCTTTCAAGGAAATCCAACATGAACTTGCCATTAATGTTATACATTTGGGGTTCCTAGTGTCCCCCTCCCCCGAGAGATTAGTAATGCTTCTTCCGTGATCTTTCTTTTAAAAAGAGTTGAGGAAGAAAACGCCCCTATGAGCTCCTCTAGTTCTTCCTCCTTTAAAAAAAGAGGAATAAGAATGACATAGCCCACGTGTCAATCTATAGCATGGGATGACCCCTGACTTTTCCAGTTTCCCTTAGCCCGTGCAACCCTGAATACCTCAAATCTCTTTAAAGTCTCTTTCATTCGAATTTCTTCAGCCAAACCCTCCCACTTTGAAAACCTTATTATAATTTGAATTTTTCGCCAGTCCATGGTATTTCGAATTCTCAAGAGTTTACTGTATAATAGAATAAGATAATGAACTTACATGCCGGGAGGATAGTGATAGCCGAACAACTCCTCCTGGATATCTTCTCTCGTTTCTTGTAGAACTTTCTTGATCTCTTGGCGGTAATCCTTCTTAGTCGGGTAATCTTCTTCCTCACCCTCGTACTGGTTGTTTCGGACGTTGCTGTTGATGTTCCGACTGTTGACGAAAATATGCGACGTATTTCCATTTTCAATCTGAAACAAATCCATCGTTAATTCGTCTATGATAAGAGTAAGAAAACAAGTTAACGCAACAAAAAAAGGCATTTAAAGAATGCGACTTTACCATTAAGAGTGTCCGCCCAGGGATGATATTCAGATACCTACCACTATTCTGACCTGAGAGAGACCATGTTTGCCTACCTCCTTCAATGCAGGCGAATCTAATTGCTTCAAGAATTTATCAAATTCCGATGTGGTGAGTATTCGCACGAGATGATTTTTTCTTTCTTTCTCCCCTTCTTTTTCTCGCACTCTTGACATTGATCAAACTTGTCAACATACGTCTGTTTTCAAAGAATGGGTTATCTGATTCCAATGAGATTTTGAGCGCTGATTCCAAACATGACCTTATGTTTTTTGTATCAGTTGGATTTTTCCCAAGAAAATCGAGTTTTCACAGAGAAAAGTGCATTTTCCGGAAAATTTGTGCACGATGGAGGAAAATAAGGTCACTTTCGGATATAGCAGCCAAATCGCATAAGGAACCATGCCCGATGAAATTTCATTTCTGTTCCTGACATCAAAGTTTTTTAGATTCAGAGCTCTTTTCCGCCAATATACCACCGTATGAAGCTCCATAATTTGATTATTTTGCGTCGGAGCGGAGGAGAAACAATTATTTCTTGGGTGACAAGTGGAGTTATTCTCACTCAATTTTTGCCGCTGAAGCCAAAAATTACCTCTGTTTTCTTCCAAAATCTTCGGAGATTCAAGCTCTCAAAAATAGGGGGGTTTCTGAGCTGAAACACTATGTTTTTGAAAAATGGAGTTTTCAAAATTTTTCATAGGTTTTGGAAGAAAAGGAAGGTCCTTTTCGGCTTCAGCGGCAAAAGTAGAAATTGAGTAAGTTTAACTCCACTTGATACCAGAGAAAAAAAAATTATCCCCTCCTTCCCGACGCAAAACAATCGAATGAGTTTTACTTACACGGTGGCACATGGGTGGAAGGAAAACTTGACCGGCAAAACCTATATTTAGGAAAAGAAAGGAAATTTTAATGGGCATGCAACACACAGTTGTCTGGGTGTACTCGGCTGCTGTTTCCAAAAATGGCCTTAGTTTTTCTCCATCGTGAACACATTTTCCCGAAAATTGAATTTTCTCGAGAAAGGCTCAATTTTTGGGGAAATTCCGATTTTCGGGGGAAATCAAACCGATCCAGCGAAACGGAGGTAATGGTCGGAATCAGCGCTGAAAATCAACCTGGCATCAATCAACAAATTTTTGGCGTTGAGATGATCTTTGACGGTACATACCTACCACTGGATGATACCGTTTCCTAAGATAAATGATTCTTCAAGACTGAACGATTGAATCTCGTTTGTTGGAGAAACAACGTAAAATACCGTGGACAGGACAAAAAAAGGGGGGGGCGGTTGACACTACTTACTTTAGCGCGTTGAGAGAGAGGCCTTTCATACGCCGAAGGGATGAATTTCAGAGTTTGCGTCGTTGAATTTCGAACAGACTGGTTGCTGTAGATAAATGTCAACAGGCAGAGGATGGCAAAAACGAAAATGGCCGAAACGTGAAAAAAATTTTTCGTCCTTAGAAAATGAGCACTCAATCTGCGAACAAATGAAAAAAGTACCATTAATTTAAGGACACTCATACTAAAGTATTCTGAAGTAGAAGAAAAATGAAGGTTAGAGGAAAAGGAGATTAAGAAAAAGAATAATAGGAGGAAATAGACGACGACGAAGAAGAAGAAGGAGAAGGAATAGGAAGGAGGGGGAGAAGAAGGTGAAGAAGAAGAAGAAAAAGAAGAGAGAAAACAAAACAACAAAATTCAAATAAAAGGAAGGGAGGAGGAAGGAAAATATAAGGAAGAGAGAGAGAAAGAGAGCGGGGAGGCGAGTAGGACGAACGAAAAGAGGATGAGGAAGAAGAGAAAGAGAGCAGGGAGGCGAGCAGGACGAACGAAAAGGGGATGAGGAAGAAGGAAAAGGAGGGAGAAGATTGTAGGGGAAAGAGACAGGAAACTGATGAAGAAGAATGCAGATGAGAGGAGAGGGAGAAAAGAGGTGAGATGGAGAAGAGAGGCAAAGAGGGGAAGGAAGATGAAGCTGAGTAAAAGTAGAGAAAAAAGAAGATGAAGAAGAGGAAAACGGAAGGAGGAAAGAAGAAGAGGTAAAGAAAATGGGTAAAGGGAGACGAAGAGGAGGACACGGAGGAGACAGAAGGAGAGAGAGGAGGAAAAACAGGTTAAAGGGGGGTGGTAGAGGGGTGATGGGGAGGTAGCAGGAGAAAAGGAGGAAGGTGCGGAGGAAAAGGAGGAAAGAAAGATGAGCAGAGAGGGAAAGGAAAGAGGAAGGAGAGAAGAAAACGAGTGAAAGGCGAAGACGGAGAAAAAGGAGGCAGGAAACAGAGAGGAAGACGAAGGTGAAGAATAAAAAGAGGAAATAGAAGAAGCGAATCTATGGTGATGATGAATAAAAAGCAAATATTCTTGACTGCGGAGTGAAGAACCTAGACACTTTCATGGCAAAAAAAAAATCATGCCTTGCTCTGGATCCGCAGCCCCCATCGAAACTCGGCGGCGAGCGTGAAGGGAAGGTGAAGGGGGTCTTGTTTTTTCGACGGAACCAAGAGCAAGACGGTGCGAGTCACGCGATTCCACATCGCCATCGCCGCGGTAGCGGATCGATCGAATCTCTGCAGCGACGACGGCCACCGCGCCATCGGTAGCGAGGCCTCNAAAAATCCACGACGCGACAGATTTCCGAGACCTCGCTTTCCCGACTCGGCCGCCCTGGGCAAAAACGCCGTATCAGCATTCCAGTGATGCCGAATTCACCCCGATAAAATTTATACTTGTAGACGGAGAAAAAACCTCGTGCGTGGGACCCGAAGTTTAGGTCATATGGATCTCTGAAGTTTTCAGATTGAGCATCTGAACATTTTAGGTCTAGCTGTCGAGGTTCGGATCACACATCTGAAACTTCAGTTCTTACATCTGAAGTACTTCAGATGTGAGAACCGAAGTTTTTCGGATGTGAAAACCGAAGTGCTTCAGATGTAAGAACTGAAGTTTCAGATGTGTGATCCAAACCTCAGCAGCTGGACCATAAGTGTTCGGATGCTCAAACCGAAAACTTCAGAGATCCTTCCTTCAAGAACTTCCTCCTTGTGTTGAGTTGAAAGGGGAGGAGGAGGGGGGTGAGAAAAGGAGCCTACCCTCCCACCCTCTTCGGAAAACTTGAAAGGGTTTCCTTGCAGCCCTGCTGATGGAAGAACACGGTGCGATATCAGAGAGCGCGATCAGAACGAGACAATAACGTCACTTGTTTTCTCTACATAATCGAACGTGGAATATGAATCACGAAGGAGAAGTTTGGAGATCAACTGAGAGCGAAGATCAAATGAAAGTTTTGACTTGAAAAATGAACGAAAATTAAAAGCGGAAATGGGCATACGCAACAAATCTACTTGAGAGCGCAAATAGATATCTGTTCAAAAACTTAAAGTTGGATTACATTCTACAATAAGGAACCACGATTCCTGGCTCAGTTGAGGACCTCTCCACCTAAACAGCACATACGCGTATAGTATAGCAGTATAATATGAGGACCTTTCCGACCAAACAGCGTGCATCGACGGTGTAAGTCCGCAATTACGTATCTCGATTTGCGAGGGCGGGGACTTCCTGTCAGACTTTATTCTTTAAATGAAAAACTACTCGACGGCGATTCTTAAAAACTACCGTGATTTTCCTTCTCAGTGCCAAGAGACAGATCTTATTATTTTTGGCTGATCTTCAAGAATCAAGCATCAAAACGAGATTCTACGATCAGCGCAACCGACCCATTCAATGAGGATTCTCATCGCAGCATATTTGGATTACATTTTGCATTAAGGAGCCCCTCTCTCTGGCTCTCACTCAAAAGCACATCCCTGCATGGGGGAACCAATGGAATTTATGTTGTTTCTAAAATGGGCCAGAAATAGTGGTTCCTTTTTGCAAAATGTAGTCCATTCAACAGAAACATTTTTCTCAGTGCAACACCGGCTGGTTTACCAGAAAGTTACGAATTGACTGCTAGTTGACTTTCAGCGCTGATTACGAAAATCGAGTCTGTGATCAGCGCAACTGGCCCATTTTTGCGCACATGGCGATTTTTCATAGCTCTTGTTTAAAAACAAATATGAGGAATTTTGCTGTTTCAGCTGTTACGGAGATTTCATTTGAGAGACATGAAGCGAACTTTGAAAGCAACTCGATTTTGGAGATTTGAGTGTTACAGCTCTCTCTGCTCTGCCGTGATAGCGATGAGAACAGTAAAAGCAAAAATGAAGTTTTGAGAGAACGGGCTTAGAAGCGTTTCACCGAAAAATTTTATTGAAAGAAGCCTCCGTTCTTTGTCACATTGCCACTGATCATCCGGGAGACTCGCCTTGGAATCGTCTGGATGATTAAAAATCGATTGATATAATTTCAATTACATAAAAAGGCTTTTTCATTTTCGTGCTAGGATATTGTTCGGCAAGACAGCCGTAAGTGCTTTCGTAGTTGCGTCTTGGACAAGCAACAGACCCATTTTCAGGTTAGAAATTGGCAGAAGAGGGCGACACTTTACTTGAAAGCGCACTGTTTTCATTGGCTCTCTGGAGGAATAATGTCACTTACTGCTGTCTTGCCTGAAACTGCGCCATTTTTTGTGCACTTACGTCTTTCTCTTATGTCTCGTTTTAATACAAGGGTGAATTTCGCTGTTTTAGCTATTTCAGTAATTTTATTTAAAAGAAATTATACGAATTTTGAAGGAGACTCGATTTCGCACATTTGACACTTACCCTGCCGTGCTAAGGAAGAACGCCGTATGAACATTCGAGAGTTGCCAAAAGTCCCATAATAAAACATGGACATTTGACGACATTCATGCATAATTTCCCTTGAAATTTTCAGATATTTTCGATTATATTACGTACGAAATCGTCTGAAAATGATGGGAAAAAATATTGACAATTTTCACGGTAAATTTGGTTTATATCGAAGGAAACTTGGCCTGGAAGTCTAATATTTTTTAATTTTGAGAAATCCTGACATTTTACTGATTTTTCCTGACATTTTATAAAAAATTCCTGATATTTTCCTGATTTTTTTCGACTCCTGGCATGGTAGGCAAAAAGCAGTAAGATTTTCTCCGCTGAGGAGATTTGCGTAAGAAAAATTCCTAATAAAACGTCCAATTTTTCCAAAATTCCTGATATTTTACGGTATTTCCTGATGCTAGACACCCTGTTGGCAACGTCTGAAGGCTCATACGGCGTTCCTCCTCAGCACCGCAGTGCTGCTCTCTTTGGTCTTTCCTATGACGGCAGGAGCTGTGGGCCTCCCTCATCCTACTTATCTCTGCTAACCTGCTTTGCATGATGCGAGGAAGGACGGCTTTCGCTGTTCCGGCGCGGATCGCTTTGGTGTAATGGTCTCATTCCGGCGTGGCGCGGCGGCAGAAGTAGGATTCGAGGCGCCGTGAGCGGCCGTTGCAATGACCTCTAATGAGTAAAATAATCATCTAAGTAATCCACGGAAGCATAGCTTAGGTTAGCTTTCTACCTTTGGCTTTTTCTCCTCTCTTTCTACCGGCTCATTCTCATTTCACTCGGTGGTTGTGACCTATAGCCGTGGGTCCTTCCTCTGGCGGGCGACGCACAGTGGACCGAGTCAATGGGAGAGGTCGCACAAGAAATTTTTGACTGAAACTGCAAATTTTGATGTTTATTTTGTCACATTTTCAATTTCAAGGGGTGCCTTCTGAATAATTTTCATGAGGAAACCAATGGGACCACCGTTAGAACACCAACATTTTGTATAAACGAAGTTATAAAGCTTCCAAATTTTGTCCGACCTCTTCTATTGACTCGATCCACGGTGCGACGCGCCGCGCGCCGGCCGTTTGCGTCAGTGCGTCACTGACCGATGCGGTGCATTCGAGCATCGCTGTTCAACATCCGGAAAACGGAATCTTATCGTTTTCACAGCAGGATGTCTAGCAATTTTTTTTTAAAAACAAATCCCTGACATTTCCCTGGTTACCCTGACAAAAACGGCTTAAAAAACCGGGGAAATTTCATGATTCCGTGACGGACGAAAAAAATAATTTACTGACACTTCCCTGACAAAAAGTCTTTTTTTTTTTGATCCTTCGAATAGACTCCTTCAATTTTCTTACTTAATCCTGGGTCACCCTATACAGAGCTGCAGAATCTTCCAATAAGCTTCAACATTTTCACGCGCCTGCCAGCCGGCTTCCCAAATTTCTCTCATCATTTTCCCACAAAATTTCCCACCAATCTAAACAAAGACGACGTTTTTCTTCTGTTTCCCTTTGATTTTCGATTTTTAGCCCCTCAAAATGTTCCCCCCTTTCACATTTTCGGGGCTTGACCACATGTTCTGCACCCCTCCACCCTGTGTAGGTACTCTAGCCGCCATTTTTATTTGGTTCTAAGGGTCGGCATGAGACTCAATGGTCATACCCTCCCTATGAAGGTACTATACCTATACACCCTGGGGCCGAATTTTGTCGGTCCTTCCACCGTAATTAAATATACTAAGGACGGGCCT